TTAGGATGGTTAATCACTATTTTCTATATATATCATACTCGTCCCTTAGCCCACGTTACAACCACGATAAAGTCCTATCTGATTTTAGACTGAACAGGCCTACATTAGTAGAGATTTACATCACGGGCAAGCCTATGGTATATTTTGTGTGCATGTGGACTTCTTTGAGAGAGTGAGTGATTTCTTCCAGTGTTTGAAGTCCTTAAATTATGATTGAATTTTATTTGAGTGTGTGGACTATCTTTCTTTGATTTGTGGTGAGGGCACATGTTTCATGATGGATATGTAACTTTATTAAGCTCTTCAGTTAGAGTGAGTAAGTTGGCCTGAAAGTAGTTATGCTAGGGAGTTAGTTTCTTAGATTGAGATGTCCTGAATTTGCTATTTAATCATTTTGAACTGTTCAATATTGTGCTTGGCATGTTTTGAACATGGGAAGGTAAGTAAAGAATGTATATGCAACGGGCTAATTGTTGGTATCAACCAAAGTCATTGGTGCTTGAGCTTAATTGAAAAGTTGTGGCTTGATTATGATAAGCTTAATTTTGTTCTGTCTATTATAGGTTGATTTTACTTTGATCGAGGACAAACAAAGGCTGAAGTGTGGGGTGGTGATGTTGGGCATATTTTTATATATTTTAATGTTAGTTTTCTCATGTTTTAACTGCTTTTTGATGCTATTTGGTGTTAAAAATGCTCAAGATGTGTTAATTATTAGTTTTATGAATAATTAAGTTGTGTGTGATGATTTAGGATGTTTGGAGTGCAAAAATATGAAGAAAAGATGCTCCTGCTATATGAGAAGAGGGTGGATGTGTCGCATCCAACCTTGAAAAAAAGGCAGCGCACCCTTAGCAGTAAAGTCGGAAGAAGGCATCCACCGTAGCATCCGCACCTGGGCGAAGCAAAGTTGAGGGAACAAAGGGTGGATGTGAAACATCCACCCCAGCATCCAATACTTAGAAGTTCAAGTTGAGGCGGATGCGAAGCACCCAACTCAGCATCAATCCCTGAAGCTGATTCGGAAAAGGAAAAGGAAAACTTTGGCCCACGACTTTTGTACGTAATATATAAGCCAAAATCGCCTCTTTTAGGTCATCTAACATACTAGGAAGCGGAGAAAAGCCATTACAGAGTTCGGGAACCGTGAAATTCATCTTGAGTTCTTCTTTTCTCTTCTTTTATTGACTTTTATGTATTCTTGAGAATTATTTGAGATTGTTATCATGACTATGCGTGGCTAAACTCGTTTATTCTGGGGTTATAGTTTCACATGAATGTTGATATTCGAATATTGATTTGATAATTTAATTTGTCATATTGGGTTATTTATTCATATCCTGAGTTTAATTATTTTACTGCCTAACTAACAGTGAAATACTATAATTGAATCTTGAGTTGAACTTGAAAAAGGTAATTCTTGATTACAATAGGATTGAATAGAGCGCGATCTTGAACCTAGTCATTGGGGAATTGATTTGCAAATACGAATAGAAATATATCTATTTGTCGTGCTTAGCCAATTGTGCAAGAGATTGTCAATGCGTTCTTTTTATCCCTAATCTCATAGGAATATAGGGTTTAGAATAAATTGAATAGGCGAGTAGAAGTTGTCAAATTTCTACGAGTATTATTGTCCTTGCAGATTAATAACTCAAATAAATTAATAAGTCGAGTTGATTGAAGAATTCAGCAGGATTGTTATCCAACCATGATCTTGAAATATTATTTCTCATTGAATTCAACTCTTCGTGCTAAGTGTGCTAGTTAATTAGTTTTTTTTTAATTAAAATAATCATTAGTAGAATTAATTAAATAAAAATCAACTTGAACTTATTTTTGACTCGATAAATTAGAAATTGCTTGATTTAGTTTATAATTGATCACTAATACTCGTGGGAACGATACTCTACTCACTCTTCATTACTTGATTGACCGCGTATACTTGTGTGTGCGATTTAAGACAACAGTTAACTAACTTTCCATTAATTCAAACACATTTTTAATAACATTTATACGATTTTTTAAGATTTTGTACTCAGAGGTACACATACATATTTGGAATGAAACGAATAAATATACAGACTTTTTGATAAATAAAAGTCACAAGCATAGATATTTTAAGTAATTTATTTAGTCTTTTCCCATGTACTGGAAAATAAAAAACCACAGTGAACGAACTTTAGCGCTTTTCGAGTTAGATTTGGTGGAAAGTTTTGGCTGAGTTTAAATTTTTTAGTGAGTGGGTAGTTTTAGTAAGTTAATGACCTACTTTTTTTTTTTTTTTTTTTTTTT